TTTCATGTCTGTATGTTTCCAAAACATTAGAAAAAAAATCTAGTGGACCTGGACCAACTGCAGCAAAATGATAGAATACCATATTTCCACTCTTCTGCATTTGGGAATGGAGACAAATGTCCCTGGTTCCAGAAAACATCCTTCTTGTGGAAAATGCAAAGGAGTGAATTTCTCTAAGTAGTTCAGCATTCAACATCTTTTACATGATAGATTTTTTATGAGCAAACATATAATTTCTGTTTCAATTATATACTTCATTTTCAAGGGAATTCATTCAAAAGTATAAAAAGCCAGAAGAACGTGTGTTCCATTTTGATATATAGCTTGCCTTTATAGACTTGACTTTACCTGTTAATTAGGTGAAAAAAATAAATACAAAAAATGAAATGCAAAGTCCTCCTAATAATACACTCCTAATCATGTATACCTATAGCCCATTTTTTTCTGCAGTCTATAGGAACAGACCTCTTTCTGATTGTACATTGTATCTACAACTTAGGTAACCTCAATTATTTTAATTCAGTAATTGTACTAATAAGAGAGGTGAAAAGACGGGGGGAAAGGGGGAGAGAGTAGCTGGGTCTGCATTAGCTGTTCTTTGTAAAAGGGAGACTTGTACAAAATGGCTGGCAGAGATAGCACAGCTACTGCATACAACTGCATTGTAATGGCTGAAGAAATACACATGATAGTATTTCCAATCAATCCAACACATGTGTTATACCAAAGATCCTAGAAAGCCTTTTCTACATCCTCTGATAATTCATAGAAAATGAAGGTACATTGCCAAAACAAATAAAAAAATCTTACAGGACCAGAAGTTTAAAATTAGCACTGATTGCTTTTTAAGATGTAATGCAAGTCCTACTATTTGATATCAGATGGAATTTTCTTTTGACACTTTGATGCCTTTAACCTGATTAGTTGGCGTTATATCAGAAAAACCTTTTGTTTGCGTGATTTTGATGGTATGTTGTATTATTTTATCAAAGAACAGACTTCTGCTGGGAGTGTTACTTATTGTTCCTTTTACTTCTCTTTTCCCATTGTGCATCCGTCACCCTCCTACTGTGTTTCACACGCAGAGAGCTCAGCTTTCTGCCAGCGAAGATGAGCAGGTTTGCATGTGCACCTGCATGGTTTCATATAAGCTTCATCTGTGAGCAACCAAAAGGATTGATTGTGCCTCAAAATCAAATGGATTGACCTCAGTTTTGATGGAATCTCAGCTCCTGTGAAACACATTCTCTCTCTCATTCCAAGTTGTCTCCTCTTGTCTCACTTGTCTCCTTTTGCTGGTAGCATGCCCATTCTTAGAACTAAAGAGCAAAGTCAAAAAAGTGAGGTCAACAGATCATCTGATGTATAATATAGCAGTTATAGAAATTAGGTTGCTCTATGCTTCTCGCTTTTACATTGACCGATGTAGAAAACCAACTCCTTTGCTATTTAAAAAGGTAATTTCAAATATTGACCTAGGTAACATTGTTATGGTAACCTTAAATGGCATGATAATCAACATTCTAGATAAATGACATTTATTTCTGCTTCAGGCACTCTGTTGAGTTCTTATATGAGAGTTTCGTAACAGCTTTATGCACAGCAGCAAATACCAGCCGTTAATTTTCTGTGAAGCAGAGCAAAGGAGCGGAGGAGGCAGCTGAACTAACTGCTGGCTCTTTCATAAGGCAGATGTGTAGTACAGGTATTTGTCCCTTGTATTTGTTCCTTGACGATCCGGATGTCTGATAAACTGCAACTAGTCAAGGACTTAGAGGAAAGTATAGCTGAAAGAAGCTGAGCTGGGGTAGGAATTGCAAAAGTCTGTAACAGCAAAGATCACCTCTTGCAGCCCCTTTATCCTCGTTTAGGGGGCTGTGGTGGTCAGCAGCAGGCTGGTGACCAGCTGTGGAGGTGTGTGTGTGGGGAGGGAGGAAGCGATGGGAGAAGGGAGACGGGCTGCAGCCCTCCAGCAGGTGGGAACGATTACGGAAAGAATGACGACCTGTACTGTACAAGTTATTGATGGTAGTTCCCAGAGGAGCTGAGTTAATAAAGCTGCAGCCAAAATAAACCACATCCCTTGCATCTTGTCTTTCTTCCTGCATGTCCGGAACAACACAATGAAAGTCTATTGCCTTCCCTTCCCCCTCCGCCTCCTCCAACACTACATTTTTTTCCTACTCTGTTCTATACAGCTGTGTCATGCAAGGATTTAATTTTTGTTTTCTGTTAAAAATACAAAAATATTCTACTGAATATTTACGAATGCTGAATATTTATAAATACTGAATTCTACTTTTCTGAAGGAAGCTATATGCTCAGAATGAGAGCAAAGCAGTAGAAATATTACCTGCTTGATGTAAAGATTGGTTGGTATTGCTACTAGCCTCTGTGTCTAGGTATGTGCTCAGCTAACTCAGCGTCTCTACACTGGGCAGAAATTACTGCATTTGCCCTGAAAAATCCAGGAGGGGAGCTAACACCCTGCTATCACGTCTTTTGAAGTGATTGTTCATTTTAGTAGTATACACTTGTAGAAAGGGGCTCGTTCTTAGTGAAAACAATTGTAGGATGAAACTCATCTATGCACTGAATTCCTACAATCCAAATTCCAGCCTTCTCAGTGGTTCCTGTTAATCTAGGACTATTTTGGTGTATGATGTCTTTCTGGTAGAAGTGCACTTAGTGTCCTTTTTATAGAGAAAGCTATACTCCCACGAATTTTGAAGCCTTGATCCTACATCATATTCCTCCATTTTCTCTTACAGCCCTAATCTTTATTTTCATGTTAGTCACTGATGCTAAATGGCATTCTTCAATACAGCTTGGTTTCCAAGCCCTTTCAGCATGGAAGAACATTTGAACTAGTGGAGACTGAATGACTGGCTTCAACATGATGTCTATTATTTAATAGTTTTGGCTTGCTATTTCCTTGAAAATCTGTTTGTCTGCTTCCAAGTCTATCATAGGAACTGTGTGTGCCAGAATACTGTTTTATGTAGACATCAAACCCTGCAGCTGTTGCCCTGGATATGATTCTTCACACAATTATTTGTATGGTCCATCTAGGAACTGGCCCGTTTCTGAAGTATCTGAATTCTTTCTGAGTATTTAAAAATAGAAATGGCTATAACAATGTTAGATTTTCTTTTTCCCTTCTTTTATAGACTGTAGGAAAAATAGCTGGATTACAGTCTGTCTGAATGGACATTTTTTGTGTGTGTGCATGTGAGTGTGTGAGAGCTCTGTGTTTACATGGACAATACAGTGTGAAAGGTATATCAGCTATGCCATTTATTTCTAAAAGTAGTGACATTTGTGGCCCTTCTTCTGAGTCTTAGAATCAAAGTTAGTGTTTCCCAGCTAAGGAGGCAGCAGCATTCATGAAGGTACTGAGCCAGAAGTAGGGTTGTGAGTGGGAACAGCCCATCTAGGTCAAACTGTTGTTAAATAACTTTTGGATTGAAGACAATAAAGACAGGTTTATTACTAAAGAATCTTGGAGCCAGGTGGCAGACACTTGAAAATTGAAAATTTAGAATGATAGGCATGGATTGCACACTGTTCACCAGTGTGTCAGGCATTTTGGGTGAGGTAGTTTGTTGCTGTTTGTTATCTGCTGTAATTATTATATCTTCATGTAACGGTATTTTTCCATCTTTTAGAAGCTGAGTCCTCTTTCAAAACGAAATTAATCAAACCCATCTCCTTTCCATGTGCTTTTAGGACTTCTCCTAGTTAATCCTTATTACGTACCTTTCTTGACTGCTTATTCTCAGAAACATTGAGATGAGGATTCCTACTGTTGTACTTTTTCCTTTGTATATAATCAGTAGTGAAATACTGAGCAGTATGGACATTAGCAGCTCTTGATACTAGTGGATTTGATGCATGTCTCAGAGTTACAGTTGCAGACAGACATTTCTGAATCAGTTGCTTCATTTTCTGGAGGCACCTTGCACAAGTATAATAGTTAGAGCTTTAAAAAGAGCCTAGTCTCTTGTGGAAAATTGGCCAACCAAAATTACTCCATATTCACCTCCTCATCTATCCCAAGGAATGTTTTATGTTGGGAAATGTTGTCCTACCATTAACAGTTTAACAGCAGGCGAGTGGAAAACTGTTTCACAAATAGGATCTAGACCTTCTATAATGATGCAGAAATTTTGCCGTCATGGTGATGATCTTGGATTAAACTAAAATGAGGGCATTTGCTTATATTGATTGAATTCCAACATTAATTTAGACCTAATCATACTTAGATCTAATCAGCCCGATCTCTATTTCCAAATGAAGGGTGGAAAAATTCCTTAAAATCCTTTTTGATACCTTGATTTTGGTTGTTTTGCAAATATGAGAATAGACATAATTTTTTCAGGTGTTCTCTGATGTGAAAACCTTTAGGGAGTGAATAACTCAACTAGGCATTTCATGTACTACAGACTATGATAGTTGTGTTTCTAAAGCTTTAGAAATCACATGTTAATCCATTTCTCACATTCTAAATTATTTGGGCATTGAATATTTGGAGTCTGTTGGGGATGAAATGGATGTTTTAAGGCATATGTTTTGAACATATTGCTGCAATTTAATAAAAGAAAGCATTATATGTATTTGGCAGTGAGTTTTTAAAGAAGGCCTCGTCATTTGGTACATTTCACTCACCATGAGCTATAAAGCTGCTAGACAATTTTTACTAGGATATAAGCTAATAACACAGATCCTCTTCATGCTTTTGGCTTAGAAATAACTTGTAATTCTTGTTGATAAGACTTTAAGCCTTTCTATATACTAAATAGGATATTCTCAGTTCCTTGTCAGCTGTTGTTGAGTTACTATACTCATAGAGGTAGAGGGCTGCCATGTATCTAGCCCAAAGTCTGTACAAAAACTTGTACAGAGCTGAAAATAAACCTTGATCTTTTGCATTCCAATCTCAAAACATTAATCGCTAGAACCTCGGAAAACTGTATTGCCAATCTTCTTGAATTTCTCACCTGGCGAGACTGCCAATGAGCCATGGCACAGAAAACCTATTTTCCTGAAAAGAGTGTCCCCTCACCATCCCATCCTCATCTCCATTTTCCCTCAAATTTCTGTATGAATTTTCATGCGTTTGTGCCAGTTCACTGCTTGCAAACTCTGTATCAGTGTGCCTTGCATGCCAAGCAGGATTTCTACATGAGACACTGTGATTGGAATAAAGGAACAGAATTCATGTCAAAAAAATAGCCCACTGTTGTGAAGAACATTTAAATACTCACTATTTGCTGTCTAATATGTCTTTGGAACCAATGCTCAAGAAAAGCTCAGTAAATTAATGGGGATCCGCACTGTATGCTTAATCGCAGGTCCGGTCTTTCCTTCTCTCTGCGGACAGTACGAGATCCACTGCCGGATACGCACACTCACGAACGCAGCAATACGCACGCTCGCTAACGTAGCAACGCGCACGCTCATCAACGCAGCAACGCGCACACTCGCTAACATAGCAATGCGCACGCTCACTAACGTGCGCGAGATCCACTGCCGGATACGCACACTCGCTAACGCAGCAATGCGCACACTCACGAACGCAGCAATATGCACGCTCACTAACGTAGCAACGCGCACGCTCACTAACGTGCAGGCTTAGGCCTTAGCCCACTGTGGGCTGGACTAGCAATCAGAGATCTCCAGCACGAGCATGCGCAGAGAGGAGCTTGCAGGGTTTCTGCGGGAGCTGTCTGCTGCCGGATGCGGTAGTACACCAGGTGGAACTGGGGGGGTTTTGATACTGCAGAGGTCCACTTGCCTGACAGTCAAGTAAAGGGTTAAATTCTTCAGTTTACAGGGGCCCAACAAAAATGCTTAAGAATCATCCAAGGCCAGACAAGAGATTTTATAAAAGCCTCCCAACTCCATACATAAAGCATATCATTTTAGTTAGAGTTACCTGATTTTTCATCTTCCTTAAAATCTGGGTTTCTGCTCCTGCATATGCAGGTAACTGGGGGTACATGGTTACATAAAGCATATCATTTTAGTTAGAGAGTTACCTGATTTTTCATCTTTCTTAAAATCTGGGTTTCTGCCCTGCACATGCAGGTAACTGGGGGTACATGGAAGAATACAGGGAACTTCTGCCACATCTACCTTAGTTCACTTCTATCTCCATATAGCAATCTGACTGTTTTTTAGAAACTATAAGTAACGAAGATACTCAGCTTTGCTGAAGCTCTCTGCATGTGCTGACTTTCTGTGGAAACACTTCTAGGAATAAAACAATAAGTGATCTTTTCTAGAACTAAGTGTAAGGGCTGTATAGGCTCTAGAACTCCTGGAAGGTCTGCCAACGATGACGTGAAGAATTCTGCATAATAGGTGAAATGAAGCTGTTGCAACAAATATGTACATACTAAACATGCAGATATGTGCAAGCATGTTGCTCAACCAGAATAAGGATTTAGAGCAGTCAGACTGAACATTAGAGGACACAGTTTGTACAAAGCACTCAGCCAGAATTGCAGCAACCAACACAGGTCGGCGTTTTGGAGGTAATGTAGGATTATACAGAAGGAGCTGTTCTTACACTTGGAATTTATGCCATGTGCTCCCTTTGGAGGGGTCTGCATACACTGAATACATGCAGGGCAGCATGCCCTGGCTTTGCCTGCTGAAGTAAGGTGCCTCAGCTTAACTTAATTTTTAAATAGATTTAAGTTAAACACCCTGTGAGGACATAGTCCCTTTAAGTATTAGATAGGTTCCTGACTAACTGACCTGAAATAACAGTGTGCTTCTTATACTTGTTTAACAGCGTTAATTTAAAATTACATATTTGATTGAGCACAATTTTAAGGTATAGGTGCCACTTGAGAAGCCTCACCAAATACTGGAGGCACTACCAAGTCTAAGCCTAGAAAATAATAGCATAGAATTTATTCACAGCCCATTACTTAAACAGACTGGTTTTGAACATGGCAACCTGTAAAACTGCTATAAAACTTCTAAAACAGAAGCTATATGATTTGCCAAGGTCAGAGCCTAAGAACTAGACCCGCTAAAGACTTTCCTATGTCTAAAATTCAGGCACCATGTCCCAAGACTGGAAACCTCTACTGTGTTAGATGCTAGTGTTTGGTGTGCTGTCAGTGGGGACACTAAATGCACCAAAATAATCTGCAAGTGGCCTGTACAGGGATCTTGCTACAGACAGCCAGAAGGACATGCTGGGAATCTCAGTTCTCTGTTCAGAGAGTGAATCTGACTCAGGGCTTCAAAAGATTTATCTGTTTACTTTGATTCCCTGGGCCAGAATCCTCCTCTGAGACTGCTCCAGCAATGTGAAAGCAGAGCTCAGTGTATTCTTTTTGTTATATGTTTGCTGATAACACTACAACCATCTGCATCTCTAAGTAGACTAACAGTTTGAGAACTAATGATCTGAAGACTCATGAGGTCTGGAATCAGTGCCATTGGCCTGAGGGGCACATCCTGAATGCTGGCAGTGTAATCTGAGGTGGAAATTGCAGTTTTGGTTCCTTGACAATCAGGTCATGTACTTGGCCATAGAACATAGGGACTCCATTTTGTACTGTGCACTTCAGTGCCACAGTGCCTGTGCAGACCTGGGTGTTGTTCCATGCTGAGATTGATATGAGGAGGGCATTTACTCAGATTCGGGAGTCCCACATAACCAAGGAGAGCAAATGCTCATTTCTTACTGCCCAAGAGATGGCTTTTAATTACATCCAAGTCATACTGTTATTATACATTCTGTTGAACATGCTTCAGTGACAGTTCTTGATTTCTGTTACAGCCTCAGGAGCAAACACCAGCATCCAGGTTACCCTCCTAGGTTGACAAGTGCCTTTTTTAACTTTTGAACAAACAAAATACTTCTGTGTATTTTGTAAATACATGTAACCTGTAAAAAGGTTCATAATAGTCCCTAAAGATTTGGAATGTAACTTCTTTTTTCTGCTCTCCCCACCCCTAGGGTTCACATATCCCATGCAAAGCATGTCAGGGGTTTTGTTTCTTTGGCATGATTTTGTGGAGTTCTCATTGCTTTTGAAAGGTAAATGATGAGTTAATAGATTGTAACATGTCTGTTTCTGTGCATATTAATTAGATTTTGCCAAGCTAATTAGTCTCAGGCACCACAAAATCCCCACTTATTAGTACATAAAATGAGAATGCAATGGAAGGAAAGGGCAGTTGTTAGAAAAATACACAGGGACTTTCTTTTGAAGAATGTTTACCTAGAAGCTGTGTACACATATTTCTTTTGTTAAAAGAATGGTTCTAAAAGTTGAATACAATAGTTCTGTATTTTCCCAGGGAAAACTTCAACTAACAACTGCATTACTACTACTCAAGATTATATGGATATATACTAAAATAGAGAAGGGTTACATTCTACAATCTTTTAATATTATTCTTGTTTTTAAAAAGACTTATAAATCTCTCCTTCCTTTCAATTCAGAGAGCCTAGTGCTATTCCATCAAGTGCATTAAAGCATTAAACACCCAACAGCTATTACTGACCTTTTTGGTTGCTCTCAGACGCTAAACGCTTCTGAAAACATGCAAGTAGCTGATTTTAAGAACTTTGAGCTCAGATTCATTTTATAAAACTTTTGGCCACAAAAAAAAAAAAAAGTTTACATTGCCTATTGGTAAATACTCAATGAACAATTTCAGCCTGTAAAACAAAAGTGGTAGGGAGCAGAGATCTGGGGCATAAAAAGACAGTGATAGATAGGTGGTGTATTTTTAGTGATTAATTCTGAGAGGGGTATGTCTGATGATTAAGCTGTTTATCACCCATTCGTTTCTAACCTCAAATTAAAATTTATCTAAGTATAGAGGTCAATCTATCAAGAGGATTCCTCAGATGAATATCCGTAAAACTGTGGGCCAGAGAACGCAACTCTGCTTGGCAAATCCAAACACATAAGTCCTGTGACAGGCAATTCTTTTGCTAGTAAGCCTGCCCAACTTGCAATTTCCACTGATGGTGGAAATGCTGCTGTAGATGGGTTGTAGTGGTCCTTGCAATCTGGCCATTGGTGTTGATGACAGCTGAGAAAACTGGATTTCCAGGCCCTAAGTAGCATCATGCACAGCATATTTTGAGGGAGGAAGGGGAAGAGTTAATTTTAGTCTAACATGCAAAACTCTTTGTTTCGTGTAGTGCATGAAGCATGAATATAGTGACTTTCAATTTCCCAGCCACATATTTTTTGTTTAATCATTCTTTTGCCCTTTCCCTCCCTGAATTTTTAAGAAATTAAGGAGGAAAATTGCACACAGAGTGCAATTCAAGACTTATATCTACCCATCCACTTCTAATCCTATGTTCATCTTTCTTGATTTATTTTGAAGAAAGGAATACTATTGCTGGTAACTTGGAAAACTATGATTTTAGTGTCTACTCATGAAACAAAGTCATATGAAGCTTCACTGGCCACCCTTGTCTTCTTCTTTAGAGAGGTTACCTGCTATTTCCATCACCTCTACTCCAGTTCATAATGTCTTTGCAGCAGCCCCATCATCTGCCAAGCTATAAGTTTAGTTGTGCTTCTGGCAGAGCCAGGATCTGCAAGCAGTTTTTTTTTGCTTTGAAGAGATTTAGGTGGGAAGCTGGCCTCATCAATACAGATGACCACTAATGCATCTGTTTTAAACAGTGAATACTCCTAATTGCTCTAATGATGAACTTCTTGTGTTTTTCAGTTTTCTTTTGCTGAGTACTGAAGGAAATGTATCACTTTAAATTGACTGACTGATTGACTTAAGAAGGTGTGGTTATAACACATTAAGCAATGTGTATCACAGTTATTGTTTATTTTAATTCTTTCTGCAGGCCCTACTTAAGCTAAGTTTACAAGTACCTTAGTAATTTATTTTTTTCTTTCACTTAAAAATACTTTTCGTGCAACTGGGTTTGTACTAAGCAGAAAATAAAATGTGCAGAATTGTTTGGGGTTTCTGCCATCTAGAACCACAATCAAATGTCTCTAAGCTAGTAGTT